AAAATACTAGAGGTTAGTATTTGTTTTTATTTTACTCGTGAAAAATTTCCTGAAATATAGTATTGCATTCAATTTTACTTAATTTCAAACTTTTATAAAAGAAAAACAGATTAAATTCGGTTTAACAACAGCCTCAAAAATAAGTTTACAAGTTACGACTATTTTTCATAGCTTGAAGGTTAAAAAAGGCTGAATTTTAGAATTCCAATCAATATAAAACTCTGCATAAGCATTTCTTGAGGAAATCCAACTTATCTTGGGCCCTTTCCATTTATTTTCTTGAATGAATAAGAATTATTTTTATCCTCTATTTGTGTTTCCCCTCAAAACTGTATAGTTTTCTAAATGTTTACAAAAGTATTTAATCCTTTTAGCTAAAGATATTGTTTACATTCACTCAAATAAACTTGAAACCTAGCCCAAATATTACTTAGACTGAGATGAGATAATAAACAATTTGATTGAAAATTTTTCTTCTACCAGAACAAAATATAAACAAATAATTGAAAAACGATTTTTTTACAAGAACAAATAAATTTGTAAATGTAAACAAATGAATGGAAAAAGTTCTCATACAAGAACAAAATATAAAGAATTGAATTGAAAACTGTTCGGCTATAAGAACAAAATATGAACAAATTAATTGAAAAGTGTTCTTTATCAAGAAATAATTATAAACAAATAAAATGAAAATGTTCGTTTATAAGAACAAAATATAAACAATTCAATTAAAAATTATCTTTTACAAGAACAAAATATAAACAAATGAAATAAAAAATGTTCTTTTACCAGATTAAAATATGAATAAAGTAATTGAAAAAAGTTCTTTTACCAGAACAAATTAAAAATAAATGAATTGAAAAAGTTCTCATACAAGAACAAAATCTAAACAAATGAATTGAAAAAATGTAAATAAAATGATTAATATCAAGGAAATAAGAAAGTAAAAAATTGGAATATGAAGACAAATATAGAAAAAAAGAAATTGTCCTGGAAACTGTTAAAATGTTAAAATCAAAAATTATATTAAAAAATTTAGTTAAAATTTTCATAAAAAACGTATCTAACAGAAATCCCAGAATATTATAATTATTAACAACTACTTCACGAGAAAGTTAAAGGAATTTTACTTTACCAAGGTTTCATGAGACCAATTTTGTCTATAAAACATCCAAAGCATTAAGAAAAATATTCTTATTATGTGGATATAATGTAGTGATACTTATGCTGGGGGACTATGCACTGGCAGTTATAAACACTTTACAAAAAGTGAAAAAATATTCAAAATATTCAGCGAGACGAACAGCAATGATAAGAGATGGAACAAAAACAAATTCTGAGAAAAGGAAAGAGAAAGCTTGAAATCAAAACAAAGAAACATTCAGAACACTGTAATCAACGAATTCTAGATTTGCAAAGTCTTGTAATACGAGACAAACGTACAAGAGGATAAAAACAAAACAAAAATAAACTAAAATAGATTCTTTTAAAGTTATTCTTTAAAAAATGTTGACAATCCCCTTAAATATAATCCTCAAATAATTTAAATTTGATATTTTGATTAATTCTAAAATCTACCTCAATATTATGCTTCTCCCTAGTCTTACTTCTCAACATAAAGATAGGTACGCAGGGAAGCATACAGCTGAAAATAGTTTATATTTAGTTTAATCATTCACTTTTTTAGTTTTTCTGAGCAATCAATAATTGATCTTAAAGGGAGTGTTTGCGAAAAATGAAAGGGGGTATGGGCTTAGTGCGATAAAAAAGCGCTTTTGATCGCTACTAATCTTACTTCTAGCTGTTGCGTCTATAAGGAGAAAATTGTCAAAGACGTCTCATACCAAATAACTTAGCGGTCATACAAATTGAGAAAATTGCAACTTACGTCTTAGACCGTAAAAAATCAATTTAATTTCAAACAAATCATTCAGATATTACAACCTATAGTCATCGATTATCTTTCGCCACATTTGTATATGGTTTATATTTTATAATATTTTTTAATTAATTTGTTTGTTTCTCTTGTCGCTTGCGCAACTATCTAAGAATGCTGCACACCACTCACAATTTTCGAAATCTGTTGAAAACGTTTCCTAAAAAAAAAAATATTATAAAATATAAACTATATACAAATGCGACGAAAGATAATCGATGACTGTAGATTGTAATATCTAAATGATTGTTTGAAATTAAATTGATTTTTTATGGTCTAAGTAGTATATTGCAATTTTCTCAATTTGTATGGCCGCTAAGTTATTCGTCTTTAACAATTTTCTCCTTATAGACGCAACAGATAGAAGTAAGATTAGTAGCGATCAATAGCGCTTTTTTATCGCATTAAGCCTATACCCCCTTTCATTTTTCGCGAACACTCCCTTTATATCAGCGTTTGTTAAGATCTTTACTAGCATGCAATCAGCAATCAGCAACCAAATACTGAAAACCAGCAATTCTAGCAACCAAAAAATCAGTAAAAGCATCTAATTGTTAGTGACCCCTGACCAGCAACTCCTAACTAGCAACGAACAACCCAGCAAACATTTCCAGTAACAAGCAATAAATAGCTAGTAACTATAGCATCCAATAACCAAACACCAGCAAACAGCAACCAAAACCAGTTTGTAGCATTCATGCAGTAACCAAAAACCATAAACAAATAACCAACAACAATCCACCGGCAACCAGCAGCCATGCAACCACTAACCAACAGCCAAGCAATCATTATTAAGCAACCAGAACCTAATTTACCTGAGAAGACAGCAGAGGAATCCACTTTCCTCCAGCTTCTCAGCATTAGAGTAAACCTGACACGGAGTACAGAAGGTTCCCATACAACCTAGATACAATATATAGAGGTTACTGTTTAGATTGAGGACAGTAACACTTCCTTTATGATTTCATTAAAGATGGTAAGAATTCCTTAATGTTGTCATTAAAGATGGTAACCATCCCTTAATCATAGATGATATATCATAGTCAAGGTTTGATGTAATTTTTTCGCTGAGGTTTTATGCAGTACGTTAGACATTGGACCCTGGAACTTACAATTTGTCTTTGGTTTTCATAAAGTTATAGATGTTAAAGGAGTATAGAAAAACATTGTAAGTCTTTAAAACTTGATAAGATTTAGTCTCCTTCTTTGTATTATAAAAATTTAGCCTCCTTTGTATATAAAAATTGTTGGAGATACTAAAGATTTAAACAACCTTGCTGATATTTAAAATTTTGAATTTTAAACAAATGTCTCAATATCTTGGTCAATTCTTAAGGTACAAAAACGGCAGACCACATTTTGGAATTCTGAAAACAAGGCGCCTTTCATGCTACCAACTCTTTGAAGAAAATGCTATGATCACAAGATTTTAGCTACAGTATCTCATTTCTGCTTACTCCAGGGCTCACTATCTACGAAAGTTCTTCTCTAATCTGGACCCTGAACTTCACTTCAAACTTTTTAAAAAATACAAATTATTTTTATAGAATGAACAAATAGCAAGAATAAAAATTTGTTATAGTAAAACCTAAAATTTGCTATGCAGAGGTTTTAGAAATTTCCTAAAAATATCTAGGGTCTACTGAGATATAACAGCTGCGTAGCCCACCGACAAAGATCGGTAGATAGAAGCATACATATAAGCGGGCCGTGCCCTTAATGTTGTCATTAAAGATGGTAACCATCCCTTTAATGTTTGATTCAAACATAGTACCAATCCCTAAATAGTTTGCTTAAAGATGGTAACAATCCATTTAATGGTTTGCTTAAAGATGGTAACAATCCATTAAATGGTTTGGTTAAAGATGGTAACAATTCCTTAATAGTTTGCTTAAATATGGAAACTATCCATACAATGGTTTCGTTAAAGATGGTAACAATCCATTTAATGGTTTGGTTAAGGATGGTAACAATCCATTCAATGGTTTGGTTAAAGATGGTAACAATCCATTAAATGGTTTAGTTAAAGATGGTAACAATCCATTTAATGGTTTGGTTAAAGATGGTAACAAGCCATTTAAAGGTTTGGTTAAAGATGGTAAAAATTCATTTAATAGTTTGGTTAAAGATGTTAATAATCCATTTAAAAGTTTGGTTAAAGATGGTAACAATCCATTTGATGGTTTGGTTAAAGATGGTAACAATCCATTTAATGGTTCGGTTAAAGATGGTAACAATCCATTTAATGGTTTGGTTAAAGATGGTTACAATCCATTTAATGGTTTGGTTAAAGATGGTAAAAATTCATTCAATAGTTTGGTTAAAGATGGTAACGATCCATTTAATAGTTTGGTTAAAGATGGTAACAATCCATTAAATGGTTTGCTTAAAGATGGTAACAATCCATTTAATGGTTTGGTTAAAGATTGTAACTAAGCATTTCATGGTTTGGTTAAAGACGGTTACAAACCCCTTTAATGCTTTGGTCAAATGGTTACTATTTTTCAATGATTTTTTTTAGAGATTGTAACAATCTCATGTGTGGTTTTGTTAAAGATGGTAATAAGCCATTTAATTATTTTGTAAAAAAGACAATTAAAACTTACAGTTTGAAACATCATGACAGCAGCTGAAGGTTCCTGCATTCCATTCCTTACTCATCTTATAACCCAATTTTTCTGAAATTTTTATTTTTAATAAGCTAGAAAGATATTTTATGGTTCTGATTATTCAATTTTTCATTAAATATTATATTTCCATTAAATGATCAAATTTCTTGAAAAACAGGAACACATATAATTTATCAAATTGCAAACATTTTTTGCCTAAAAATCTCAGGGGGGCTTTGCCTCCTTCTGAAAATGTCAGGGGGTCCTGCCACCCCCTCCCTGTATCCGCCCCTGTTCAAGGAGTATATTTTACCATTTAAGAAATTGTACTTATGGAAAGATAGTTAAAGAATATTTTTCTGTAAAAGATCGCAAATTAATTGTGCAGTATAAGTGTATATTAATATATAGGCCAGGAGGAGTTTTTCTTCACTCGTTGATTCATAGCTAGGTTTCTCTCAGAAAACTACTGAAGCTCATTCGCAGTCTGAAATATTAAATAAATCAAGATTAATCAGGAAACTTTTTTTTCCATTTATAGTTTTATAAGGGGGGGAGGGGGGGCCACAAAATGTAATACTCTTCGGGAAATTTAAATAGTGTATAGGTATAAACTAGCGCACCAGTCAGAATGTTCCAATCTTTATTTTGACCTCAGAAATAAATTCCGCGTGCCCAATTGCCTATAAATCAACATACAACATGTAAAATATGTGCTAAGATGACCCTCAATGTAATGGTTGGCTAATAGCGCGCTTCAGATATTTTGACCTCAGAAATGAATTCCTTGTGCCAAATTACTTATGAAATGATATACAACAAATAAACTCTGTGCTAATGACCCATAAGGTAATTGTTGGCTACTAGCGCGCCAGTCAGAATGCTCCAAGGTGTATTTTTACCTTGAAAATGAATTCCTTCTTCCAATCTTGTTATTATTTTATGTATCTCATTCTATATGTGTTTCAAGAGTGTCAGGATAAATTTAAATGCAATTAATGAAGTAAAGATTGATTTATTGACAAAAAGTTGTATCTGTTCAAAACCTGAAAATGCATGTAATAAACAAAAGTTTAAGTTTGCATGCAAAAAAAACTCAGCCTCCTACGACAAAGCTAAGTTATGTTTATACACTGTTTAAATTTCCCGGAGAGTAATACGTTTCGTGCCCCCCCCTATTAGAGTAAACCTGACACGGAGTACAGAAGGTTCCCATACAACCTAGATACAATATATAGAGGTTACTGTTTAGATTGAGGACAGTAACACTTCATTTATGATTTCATTAAAGATGGTAAGAATCCCTTTAATGTTTGATTCAAATATAGTACCAATCCCTTAATAGTTTGATTAAAGATGGTAACAATCCATTTTATGGTTTGTTTAAAGATGGTAACAATCCATTAAATGGTTTGGTTAAAGATGGTAACAATCCATTAAATGGTTTGGTTGATGATGGTAACAATTCATTTAATGGTTTGGTTGAAGATGGTAACAATCCATTTAATGGTTTGGTTAAAAATGGAAACAATGCATTTAATGGTTTGGTTAAAGATGGTAACAATCCATTTAATGGTTTGGTTAAAGATTGTAACAATGCATTTAATGGTTTGGTTAAAGATGCTAACAATCCATTTTATGGTTTGGTTAAAGCTGGTAAAATTTAATGGTTTGGTTAAAGATGGTAACAATCCATTTAATGGTTTGGTTAAAGATAGTAACAATCCATTTAATCGTTTCTTTTAATATGGTAACAATTCACTAAAAGGTTTAGTTTAAAAATGCAGCAATCACTTTCATGGTTTGGTTAAAGACGGTAATAAACCCCTTTAATGCTTTGGTTAAACGGTAACTATTTTTTCAATGATTTTTTAGAGATTGTAACATTGCCTTATATAGTTTTGTTAAAGATGGTAACAAGCCCTTTAATTATTTTGTAAGAAAGACAATTAATTCTTACAGTTTGAAACATCGTGGCAGCAGCTGAAGGTTCCTGCATTCCATTCCTTACTCATCTTACAACCCGATTTTTCTGAAATTTTTATTTTTAACAAGCTAGAAAAATATTTTGTCATTCTGATGATTCAATTATTCATTAAATATTATATTTCCATTAAATGATCAAATTTCTTGAAAAACGGGAACACATATGATTTATCAAATTGCAAACATTTTTTGACTAAAAATCTCAGGGGGCTTTGCCCCCCTCTGAAAATTTCAGGGGGTCCTGCCCCCCCTATATCTGCCCCTGTTCAAAATGTATATTTCACCATGTAAGAAATTGTACTGATAAAAAGATAGCAAAGAATATTTTTCTGTAAAAGATCGTAAATTAATTGTGCAGTATAATTGTATATTAATATATAGGCTAGGAGGAGTTTTTCTTCACTCGTTGATTCATAGGTTTCTCTCAGAAAACTACTGAAGCTCATTCGCAGTCTGAAATATTAAAGAAATCAAGATTTATGAGGAACATTTTTTTCATCGATGGTTTTATAAGGGGGGGGGGAGGGGCACAAAATGTATTACTCTACTGGAAATTTAAATAGTGTATAGCTATAAACTAGCGAACCAGTCAGAATGTTCCAATCTTTTTTTTTGACCTCAGAAATAAATTCCTCGCGCCCAATTACCTATAAATCAACATACAACATGTAAAATATGTGCCAAGATGACCCTCAATGTAATGGTTGGCTAATAGCGCGCTTCAGATATTTTGACCTCAGAAATGAATTCCTTGTGCCAAATTACTTATGAAACGATATACAACAAATAAACTCTGTGCTAATGACCCATAAGGTAATTGTTGGCTACTAGCGCGCCAGTCAGAATGCTCCAAGGTTTATTTTTACCTAGAAAATGAATTCCTTCTTCCAATCTTGTTATTATTTTATGTATCTCATTCTATATGTGTTTCAAGGGTGTCAGGATAAATTTAAATGCAATTAATGAAATAAAGATTGATTTATTGACAAAAGTTGTATCTGTTCAAAACCTAAAAATGCATGTAATAAACAAAAGTTTAAGTTTGCATGCAAAAAAAAACTCAGCCTCCTACGACAAAGCTAAGTTATGTTTATACACTGTTTAAATTTCCCGGAGAGTAATACGTNAATAAAATGAAAATGTTCGTTTATAAGAACAAAATATAAACAATTCAATTAAAAATTATCTTTTACAAGAAAAAAATATAAACAATTCAATTAAAAATTATCTTTTACAAGAACAAAATATAAACAAATAAATTGATAAGTGTTCTGTATCAAGAAATAATTGTAAACAAATAAGTTGAAAATGTTCTTTTACAAGAACAAAATATAAACAAATAAATGAAAAATGTTCTTTTACAAGAACAAAATATGAACAAATGAAATGAAAAATGTTCTTTTACCAGAACAAAATATGAATAAATGAATTGAAATATGATTTTTTTTACAAGAACAAATAAATTTGTAAATGTAAACAAATGAATTGAAAAAGTTCTTATACAAGAACAAAATATAAAGAATTGAATTGAAAACTGTTCGGCTATAAGAACAAAATATCAACAAATGAATTGAAAGTGTTCTTTATCAAGAAATAATTGTAAACAAATAAGTTGAAAATGTTCTTTTACAAGAACAAAATATAAACAATTCAATTAAAAATGATCATTTACAAGAACAAAATATAAACAAATAAATGAAAAATGTTCTTTTACAAGAACAAAATATGAACAAATGAAATGAAAAAAGTTCTTTTACCAGAACAAAATATGAATAAATGAATTGAAAAAGTTCTCATACAAGAATAAAATCTAAACAAATGAATTGAAAAAATGTAAATAGAATGAAGATTAAAATCAATGAAATAGGAAAGTAAAAAATTGGAATATGAAGACCAATGGTTTACAAGACCAATTTGGTCTATAAAACATCCAAAGTGTTAAGAAAAATATTCTTATTATGTGGATATAATGTAGTGATACTTATGCTGGGGGACTATGCAGAGGCAGTTATAAACACTTTACAAAAAGTGAAAAAATATTCGAAATATTCAGCGCTGCGATCAGCAATGATAAGAGATGGAACAAAAACAAATTCTGAGAAAAGGAAAGAGAAAGCTTGAAATCAAAACAAAGAAACATTCAGAACACTGTAATCAGCGAATTCTAGATTTGCAAAGTCTTGTAATACAAGACAAACGTACAAGAGGATAAAAACAAAACAAAAATAAACTAAAATAAATTCTTTTAAAGTTATTCTTTAAAAAATGTTGACAATCCCCTTAAATATAATCCTCAAATAATTTAAGTTTGATATTTTGATTAATTCTAAAATCTACCTCAATATTATGCTTCTCCCTAGTCTTACTTCTCAACATAAAGATAGGTACGCAGGGAAGCATACAGCTGAAAATAGTTTATATTTAGTTTAATCATTCACTTTTTTAGTTTTTCTGAGCAATCAATAATTGATCTTAAAGGGAGTGCNCAGCCAAGCAATCATTATTAAGCAACCAGAACCTAATTTACCTGAGAAGACAGCAGAGGAATCCACTTTCCTCCAGCTTCTCAGCATTAGAGTAAACCTGACACGGAGTACAGAAGGTTCCCATACAACCTAGATACAATATATAGAGGTTATTGTTTAGATTGAGGACAGTAACAAGTCCATTATGATTTCATTAAAGATGGTAACCACCCCTTTAATGTTTGATTCAAATATAGTACCAATCCCTTAATAGTTGCTTAAATAGGGTAACAATCCATTAAATGGTTTTGTTAAAGATGGTTACAATCCTTTTAATGGATTGGTTAAAGATGGTAACAATCCATTCTATGGTTTGGTTAAAGACGGTAACAATCCATTAAATGGTTTGGTTAATGATGGTAACAATCCATTTAATAGTTTGGTTAATGATGGTAACAATCCATTTAATAGTTTTGTTAAAGATGGTAACAATCAGTTAGTTGGTTTGGTTAAAAATTGCAACAATTACTTTCATGGTTTGGTTAAAGATGGTAACAATCCATTTAATGGTTTGGTTAAAGATGGTAACAATCCATTTAATGGTTTGGTTAAAGATGGTAACAATCCAAATAATGGTTTGGTTAAAGATGGTAACAATCCATTTAATGGTTTGATTAAAAATTGCAACAATCGCTTTCATGGTTTGGTTAAAGATGCTAACACTCCATTTAATGGTTTGGTTAAAGATGCTAACACTCCATTTAATGGATTGGTTAAAGATGCTAATACTCCATTTAATGGTTTGGTTAAAGATGGTTACAAACCCCTTTAATGCTTTGGTCAAATAGTTACTATTTTTCAATGATTTTTTAGAGATTGTAACAATCCCTTATACAGTTTTGTTAAAGATGGTAACAAGCCCTTTAATTGTTTTGTAAAAAAGACAATTAAAACTTACAGTTTGAAACATCGTGGCAGCAGCTGAAGGTTCCTGCATTCCATTCCTTACTCATCTTATAAGCCAATTTTTCTGAAATAAATAATATAGATATATATCATTCTGTTCTCATTAATCTAATATAGATATATATCATTCTGTTCTCATTAATCTAATATATATATACCATTCTGTTCTCATAAATCTAATATAGATATATACCATTCTGTTCTCATTAATCTAATATAAATATATATTATTCTGTTCTCATTAATCTAATATAGATATATATTATTCTGTTCTCATTAATCTAATATAGATATATATTATTCTGTTCTCATTAATCTAATATAGATATATATTATTCTGTTCTCATTAATCTAATATAGATATATATTATTCTGTTCTCATTAATCTAATATAGATATATATTATTCTGTTCTCATTAATCTAATATAGATATATATTATTNCATAGAAGGATATGAATAAAAATGGATTTAAAGATTTATTCCGTCATAAAAATAATATTGAATAAATAAATCTGTAATAAGAACTGAAGGTAATTTCCAAAATACGATTTTTGGACCCTCCCCCCCCCTTCCACCACCCCTCCTATCAATTTTATACATTGATCTCAAATACAACACATAGATGTAATTGGTCGTGTGGTCGCAGCGCTCAGCCCCCTAGACTGTCATAGCCGCGGAACTTGGCTCCCTAGCCTGTCCTAGCCGCAGAACCCGAATTCAACCTATTCCCCTTTTACCACCAAATCTTCCCCCCCTGCTCTTCTCTTCTAGTCCCAATTCAGGCCGTTTTTTCTCTCTTACAGCATCACGGGCACGGCACAGTAGCGAGCGGGGGAAGGCAGGCGGCCAGTAGCCACCACTATTTCCTCTTCAGGGCCACATATTAGCTTTTTTTTTCTTCCGTCAGCCATGAGCCACCACTATTTCCTCTTCCGTGCCACCACATTTGACTCTTCCAGGCAAAACTACTTTTTTGAATGATATATTTAGGGTCTTTAAAGTGTAATTTTCAAAAATCCAGCCGCGTCAAGCAAAAAATATATATTTATATCTTTATATTAAAGTGTTAATATGAAAAAAGGATGATTCCCTTTAATGTAAACTGCAAAGCTTTTCTTTGCAAATCTAAATTCTGATTTTCATTAAAAAAATGGCTTATATTTTAGAGCAATATGAATATTAAAAATGACGCACCATAAAATACACTTTAGTTTTGAAGGGTGAAAATGTGCAATGTGTTAACCCTATCTCTGCTGGGGTACTTGAAAACCAGGATATGCGGGGGTTTGCTAAAAACCGTTTTTTTTTTATAAAATCTATAATAAAGCGTAAGTTAATAATCTTTTCTTATTCTTCAGACTACTATGAACAATTTTTCTCTGCTCCCACAATACGAAAAATTACTTAGTTTAACTACTAAAATCTAAAACAAACGACCTCTTTTTTAAATAATAACACATTGATCTTATGTAGAATTGAAAAAATGGTTTGAGTTGTGCTTTTTTTGCGTGACGTGGCTGGATTTTTTAAAATCACACTTTAAAGGCCCTAAATGTACCATTTAAAAAGATATGTGGCCCGGAAGAGGAAATAGTGGTGGCACATGGCCGCCTGCCTTCCCCCGCTCTAGTGGCAGTTCTTGCAGTTCTAAGGAATACTTATATTTCCCACCTCATCATACAATCTCTCTTGCCAGTGGCGTACCTAGGGGGGGGGGCAGTAGTTCTCTTGCCCTCCTGGGAGTTCCAGGGGGGCCCTACCTCACATTAAATATGTTTAAAACGTAAATAATTTATGTTAAAATTTAAATTTTTTGTCTTATGCAAATATTTGGTTTTACCCACATTTTGATTTATTTTGTAATTTATTATATAATCAATATCAACTCTTTTAAAAGAAAGACACTTTTTTCATTTTTGGACCCCTCCCCATCCTACCCCTTATATAAATTGTCTACATAACATAAAGCTCATATGTGACATGAAGTCAAAGTCATATCTTTAAATTTGACATGTTTATTATTAGTATAAATACCAGAAAAAAGAAGCTTAAAAGATTTGGTGAATATGTAGATGGAGTAAATTCTATCTAAAAATTTCGGAAGAAATTTCGTTTATTAGTGAAAATATAATTTTTTAATGATGCTGTGATTATTGATTTGGTTAGCTGTGATGGATTAAGTGATAAATTTATTGAAAAGTTGAAAAGTTTAAGTTAGTTTACGGCAAAGGAATAATTTTTAGACTCTAAGGTTTGTAACAGCCAAAAATGTAGTCTTTTTGATGTATTTTTATGGTGTTAATTGACTCCGTACTTTATTCAACACTTTATGCAACCCATCTTCACTTTATTCAATGAGTCCTCACTTTATACAACCCGTCCTTACTTTATTCAACCCGTCCTCACTTTTTCCAACCCGTTTTCACTTTATCTAAACCATCCTCACTTTATCCAACACGTCTTTCTTTAATAAAACCCATCCTCACTTTATTCAATCAGTCCTCACTTTTTCCAACCCGTCCGTCCTTTATTATTTATCAATAACTTAGGAATTAAGACTCTCTTTTGATAAAAATTAAAATCATCGCTTAAACTCTTTTGCATATTGTTTCCTAACAGCCTTAAAAGAACAAAAATCTCTACATATAAAGTTGTAATCACTCTCTGTTTGTTTGTCCGTGAATAACTCAGGAACCCCTGGACCGATTTGTCTCAAATTTGATTGGAAAAATCGGGAGAGCTAGGGGAATGCTCTTTGCTTGGTTTTGAGATTCAAAGTTGAGTGGGTCCACTTTAATAGCAAAAATTTAGTTTCCTGGTATAATCGTCAATGTGCGGGTAAACGGCTGTAGTAACTATAATGAGTACCCAGTACCCTAGTACTAGCTGTATTACCAAGCTAGTATATAATATACCAACACTCAACAGCCACCATAATTCCTTACAGTTTAGTAACATTACATAATATACCGGAAAAATAGATATATTGCTCTCAAGACACTATATTATCCATCGTATTCGTATAACCAGAGCTGAGGTAGAAACTTTAGATAATCTCTATCATACTGAAACTTTTGAAGCTAAAATTTCGTTACTGTGCAAAGATTCCGACCAGAATAGTATCTCTAAGGCTCTGTACAGTGTACACTTTACACTGTAGATGATCACAGACTACATTTCTTATTGAATACTAATGCTAAAATCAAGAATGTAAGGCAAGGAAAGTCAATTGCGGTTGTGTATACTCTATGTACATATTGAAACCAGTTAGGCCACTTCGTCAGACAAGTATCTTAATCGTAGGATAAACCTACGATTAATAAATCGTAGGATAAACCTACGATTAATAAATCGTAGGTTTATCCTACGTTTTAGACTTGTCGCACGATTACGGAAGTACTGTTTCATCAGTCATAAATCCACCCTAAATAGAGGCTGGATTATCTATCCTAAATCTACCCTGAAACAGCTGATGCTTTCATTAGTCATCCTTTAAATAATAGATGCATCAGTGTTCGTTTAGTATCCGAGGAGGTTAAAAGCATTAAATTTTGATAATTCACATAATAGTTTCCTATGACCAGAATATTTCATTGATTTTTTATGTGAATGATGGATCCCATGTCAGGCATAGTACACTGCAGTACTAAAGATGTGTACACTTCTGAAATGACTTTCCTTGCCTTACATCCTTGGCTAAAATCATCTTCATGAAAGTACAAAATAAAATGAATGGCATATTATACATATATAAGAATTACTGTGAACACAGTTTTATGATGCAGGTTGCCAGATACACCGCGATCCCTTCCTGCTATTCATGCACTGGAGTATATACAACAGGAACAGGTAGTATTATACCCCTGTACCGGCTTGTATACTGTATAGTATTTATACGTTTAGCCTGCTTCGACGATGTATAGACTGTCCCAAATAAAAGGTGTTAATTGTAATTTATCAGGTTAATACATTTTTGATTTATTAAAATCGGTTCAAAGTCTTCTTATATTTGCACAATAAAGTTAAATAAACGGGAATATTCTTATTACCATTTTGCGTAAATGTAGATAAGTCTTTAATTAAATAACATAGTGTGAACCATACCCCTAAATTTACCCTGTTGTAAGGTCGTCTCCGACAAACTGTACCTCCGTTGAACCCTCCGTCCACTTTCCAAACCAAACTTTTCCAAGGCTTCCGCGTAAATATAAACAAAGACCTCATGGAGCTAATAAAACTGAAAGTGCATTAAAACAACCAATTTAAACATAATTTCAGTGAATCATTTACAAATAAACAGTGAAATTACTTTAGCCGGATAAATATTTATTTCAGAAGAATTAAATTGCCTTAGACTTTAATTCAAACAACTTTTCGCCGTGCCACAGTTTTCTAGATTGTAAGTTCCTTATATTTAATTCACAACAATACCCTTTTAAACCTTTATTGGCCGATTCACAATAGTACCTTTTAAACCTTTATTGCCGATTCACAACAGGACCTTAAGCCTTTGTCCAATTCTCAATGATGCATATTTCTTTAACCAATTGTTCGTTTACAACAATATTCATGTATTCAATTACATTACATTAATATTTATTAACAATCATTATTTTTATACATGTACGCCAATAACAATTTGTATTTTGTAGGAAACCTCGTTACTGAAATATACATTTTTTAAAGAAGATGTTATCGTCTAAAGGGTGAACCTAAAAAAACCACACATAATACAAATTCTTCTCTAATTGTTTAATGCATTATGATTAAAACAGTTTTATTGGATATATTTTAGTGGTTACATATATATTGAGTATTTTGAAACTTTTAGTAGTCTTCCTACTGGATTTGACGGCCTTCTTTGTCTATTACAGCTTGTAGTCGGTGGGGCAGAGATGCCATCAAATGTCTGCATAGAGCCTTATCATCGTCAATCTCTCTCCATGCTGCAATGATTGCTTTCTTCAGCTGTTGGTCATTAGAGCATTCTTTTTCAGCAACCTTTCCCTTAAGAATACTCCAAACATTTTCTATTGGCCATAAGTAGTGATTTTGGCACT